AGGAATGATGGATTCACTCCTGCAACACTTAGACATAACTCTTCAAAAAGACTAGTGCTCTTCTTAGTGAAACAGATTAATTCATTCTTGGATAAACTGCACTATATGCTGTTATCATTGTACATGTCTAGTAGTTTATATTTTGTTCAGAAAACTGCTATGCACTATTTACTAGCCACAGGAATTAAAAGTCCTGCAATTGGATTATGTTGATCCTGCCACATAGGTTCTGTGGAAGACAGAATAGCAGAAGCTGTCTAGGCTTCCTTGTAAAAAGGTATACATTTATTAAATGAAATAATCATTATCCAGGAGAGATGTTCAGCTACATAAGCAACTATCAGCCTGATTCCTTATTCAGTAAGTGATGGAGCTTCTTAAACAGACCACATAAAATGAGTTCAGTATACCAAAACATAGGATCACAGAATAATTTGGCTTGGAAGGAATCTTCACCAAGGGTCCAGTCCCCTTTGCTCAAAGCAGGGTCAAATGCCAAGGTAGAGTGGCCTGACCAGGGTTGTATCCAGTCAAGTTTTCAATACCTGTAAGGTTGGAGATTTCATTTCCACCTCTATGGACACCTGTTCCAGTGTCTGAACACCTTGTGAATTATTTTTTTTCCTAATATCTAATTGAAATTTCCCTGGTTGCAACTTGTGTCTGTTGGTATCAAAGAAGGAGGTGAGACACCTTTATCTAAAAATAAATAAGCTCAAGTGGAAAAATGGACATAAGGAGTATTTTAAAGTAATTAACAATAAAAATATACACAGAGCTTTAAAAATAGACATGGGACCTCACTTTGATCTCAAGTCAATAACAATTTTGTACTTGAGGTGAAAGAGGTTAGACTCATCATAGGTTTTGCACTCTGGAGTTTTCACTTGACTGCCCTTTGGATGTCAAGGTCAGAAAGAACATGCAGATTGCAACCCAATATTTAAAAAATCCCCGATGTTAATGGAGTATTGGAGCATATAATAGGGATATACTTTCTCATGGCATCATAAAAAAATGGCTCAAAGAGAAAGACAAAAGATGAACACACAGACACAATCCCATTTTTCTGCTTAGTATTGCAGCTTCTCTGTCTTTCAACTTACAGCAAGCAGAGGTATGTGAATCCCCATCTTTTTTGGTGGGGATCCAGGACTCAGAGGGACAGCAGTGAATCTATTTTGTACTTTGATTCCTTGTTCTGCCTGATTCCAGTAAATACCCCCCTGGGAGACATGCAAAAAACAAGCTAGAAAGTCTTTGACATAGAATGCAAGTTTCTGGAAGGAGTAGCTGGCCGTATTTCTCAGGAACTTTCTCATTTTTGCAAAAGGGCTAATATGAAGGCAAATTTCTTTAAAATCCTCAGCTTTCTTTTATTTTCAGTAGGTCTTGATTATGTTTTATCACTGATTAATATATTTTAAAGAGTCTCTATGAAGAAAGATTATGAAATTAGCTCTTTCTTGTACAGTACATTAAAAATAAGTTTGGAAAGAATTTGTAGAATAGCTCACAACAAACTACAATAGGAAACTCATTGTGTTCAGGAAATTAACCTAATGGTCCCAGTTTAGCAACTGGGACATTACTAGTCCCAGGGACTTGTTATTCCTTGCATTAATGCTAAATTAAAGGGGACTACTTGGAGAGGACAGAATCGAGGAAATACTTTCAGTTTGAAAACTGATTCAGGCAGAAGTGATACATACCTGAACGGAATTGTTGGAAAACCTGGAAATATTAATCAGAAAGATAGACACTAAAACACAAAGATTTTCTGGTTGAGAGTCTTCAGAGAAAGGTCACCATTTTCCAAGAGAAGCAGACACATTTTCTGGAAGATTTTTGGTTAATCAGAAATCTAGTTTTATGCCATAGGACATTTGGCAGCCTTAGCTGTGAAGCATGAACGTGTTAATAATCGTAATTCACCTCAGGTACAGAAGATGAATGATACTGAAGATGTAAAAGTTCAAAATGATTGCTTGTTTTGTTTGACTTCTTAACTTTTTAGCTGTGCTTTGCCTTCTTATAGGCTGTCATTTCACCTTTTTTAGGGCCATTTTGGGGTTTCTTCATCTGTTGGAAAGCTAGCTTCTTGTGACATTTATATATGCCTAAAAGTCATCTAGAAGCTGGGATTTGGAAAGAAATGTAAAGAGTAGTAGAAATGAATAAAGAAGCAGACAGTGTAACCAAGGATAAAATGTAGGTGATAAGGTCTGTAAAAGATGTACTTTTTGTCTCTTATAAGAGGTTTAGCTTGTACACTCTGAAAAATTATGGAACAACCTTCTTCTGTTTGCCTTGCCTAATGGAACACACCACAAATATAGTCATATTGCAGATAATAAAAACAACAGTAAGGCAGGGCTCAAGGCAGCACTAAAGAAATAAGTCAGAAGATGCAGGAAAAAAGTTAATAAAATTGATTGAGAAGCAGGCCATATCTGTTATAAATCTGTAGAGAATTATTTTTTCTTCATTATGTTGTAATCTTTTATTTATTACTGTGTTGTTTGAATTGTAACATCTTTCTTTTAAAAATGAGGAGATGAGTTTTAGAAGAGATGCTACTAAGAGAAGCTATCGGTAGGAAAGAGACTTTGCTGTACTTGATGCAGGTAAAATGTACTGATAGAAGGAGCACATTCATTAAAAGAGAGAATTTTCTGCCTTGTTCTCAAAAAAAGGACATAGATCCGAATGCTAGGAGTAAGTAAAAACTTCCCAAGGAAAAGGGAAAGGAAGCAAACATTTACTAAAACTACTAGTCAAGAAAGAAGTTTGTTTTCATATTCTGCGTGCCTGCCATTTATTTGTAATGCAGGAGAAAGCTGGACACAAGTACTGACCCCCATCATTTAACCATGGCAAGTTCCTTGCTGCTCTAGATGTGCAGGAAGGAGCTTGACAGTCTGCAAAATTCAGTGTCACACCCACAAAATCATAGGGTCATAGAGTGGTTTGGGTTGGAAGGGACCATAAAGATCATCTAGTTCCAACTCCCCTGCATGAGCAGGGACACCTCCCACTAGACCAGGCTGCTCAAAGCCCCATCCAGCCTGGCCTTGAACACCTCTAGGAAGGGAACATCCACAACTTCCCTGGGCAACCTGTTCCCGTGTCTCGCCACCCCCACAGTAAAGACTTTCTTCCTAATGTCTAACCCAAATCTACTCTCTTCCAGTTTTAATCCATTACCCCTTGTCCCATCTTTACATGTCCTTGCAAACAGTCCCTCCCCAGCTTTCCTATAGTCCCTCCAGGTACTGGAAGGCCACTATAAGTTCTCCACAGTGCCTTCTCTCCAGGGATTGCCAGCCACAAGGACCTTGCCCTTGGCCTTACTGAACTTCATGAGGTTGCCTTGGGGCCACCATCTTTGTGAGCAAACCTATGCCTGAATCTGGGAGAAGCTTATATCCTCACGCAGATAGAGCTGGTTTGAAAATGCTAGTAGTTACTGCTCCTTATTCCCAATTTATATTTTGCTTATAATGCATGGATTGTTCCCTGACGTGAAAATGCATGGTTACAAAATATGACAAAACATGTTGTTAAGGAAGGATGATATGTCTGGTGGCAAACACGTTACATAGAATGTGAGTGAGTGCAGCCCTCTTCCATACCCACTCCACCCCAAGAAACTCTTCATTTCCCCCAGGTATCACCAGCTTTCTCCTGTGTTGCCCTCCTCTCCAGCTGAGCAACAGGCAGCATGCTGCCTATTCAGAGCAGAGACTGGGGGGATGCTGGCTGAGCATTGCCCTCCAGGGTAAATGGTAGTTATCATAAATACCTCTCTTCTACCCAACTGCCAGTGTTCACTACTTTTTTAGAAACTTAAGTACCCTTAGTACTGCTGCCCCTCTGCGGATTAGTTTGAAATTGGACAGTAGCTTCACAAGTTACCAAGAAAGACTAAAAGCTCCAGGGGTCATGTCTCATTTCCTTAGGAAACCAGCGATTAAACAGTCACAGATCAGTGATTAGATTGCAGCCTCTGCTAAGAACTTCATAGGCTGAGCCAGTCAAAGTTACAAGTCTAGAACAAATGCATGCAGTGTGATACTAAGTTTTACCAGCATGCCTGCTACATAAGCCCCATAGGCCAGAGAAAAAAAACTTTACAAGTATTTTTAACAAAGGAAGCTAAGCTTGTAAGAAGCAGAACTTTCGTATTTCATCTTCTATAGCTTTTTCTTTTATTTTCTTCCACAGAAATTCCACATTGTCTTTTTCAGATGGATGCCTGGCTCAGAGCAAAGGACATGCAGTGCAGAATACCTAGCAGAAGCTGAAAATGAATGATGCTTTTTGACAATGTTCTCTCTGCTTTCTCTGTTTGAGATCAGTGATATGATCATCAAGAAAAAGTTTTAAAATCAGCCCAAGTGACCTCTTCGTCCCTTGACTCCTCTTTCCTCAAGTTGAGAAACCATCAGAAAAAATGACCAGTCAACAGCCAGAGGAGCCTGTGGAGACTCAGAGCTCAGATGAGCTCGAGTGCAAGATCTGTTACAACCGCTACAACCTGCGGCAGAGAAAGCCAAAAGTGCTGGAGTGTTGTCACAGAGTGTGTGCCAAATGCCTTTGCAAGATCATAGACTTTGGTGATTCCCCACAAGGAGTCATAGTATGCCCGTTTTGCAGGTTTGAAACTTGCCTGCCAGACGATGAGGTTAGTAGTCTTCCTGATGACAACAACATCCTTCTGAATTTAGCTTGTGGGGGAAAGGGAAAGAAGTGTCTGCCAGACAACCCAACAGAACTGTTGCTGACTCCCAAAAGGTTGGCGTCTCTGGTTAGCCCTTCTCACACCTCTTCTAATTGCCTGGTTATAACAATCATGGAAGTACAAAGAGAGAGTCCCCAGACTCTGAACTCAACCCCTGTGGTGGAATTTTACAGGCCTACAAGTTTTGACTCTGTTGCAACTGTGTCCCACAACTGGACAGTGTGGAACTGCACATCTTTGCTCTTCCAGACCTCAATTCGGGTGCTAGTGTGGTTGCTAGGGTTGCTGTACTTTAGTTCCTTGCCTTTAGGGATTTATTTACTGGTATCTAAGAAGGTCACCCTTGGGGTTGTCTTTGTAAGCCTTGTTCCTTCGAGCCTTGTTATTCTCATGGTTTATGGCTTTTGCCAGTGTGTTTGCCATGAAGTTCTAGACTGCATGTCATCTTGATAAAAAATACAGTCAATGTATGGCCACATGTGTAGCATAGTTGATTTCTCCTGTCTTTGTATTCTTATTTATTCTTATTGTTGTCTATCCCACTAAACGGAAGCAGTGGCCCTAGTTACATGGTCCTTTTTTTCTACTTGATTTCCCCCCCCCCCCTTTTTTTTAAGCTTAATGACGGAAATAAAATTTACATACTGATTTTTAAGAGGTCAAGTTGTAAAAAGGGATAAAGGAAAATTGCCAAACGTGGTGCCTCCTGCTGCTGCCACTATTCATATGAGTACCCTTTTCCTTTCTCTGGGCTTATCATGTCAGCTAAGGCTGCAGGATCCAACCTAGAATAAATGAGTATAACGGGCACCTTCCAGCTCTTCATCCAGAGTATCTCATGTTTTGGAATATCTGTTATTTCTGCCAGCAAATGAAATCCCTGTGTTAGTTAATACTATAAAAAGACAAACTACCATTGCTTTTTTCATCCTTGTTACAGCAAAAATACTTATGGGAGGCCAGTGGTCAAAGTGGTTTTGCTTTCTGTGACAGGAATCTTTTTCTATAATTTTTTTTTCCTCCTGTTCTAAAAAACACTTTCCCCAAGCAGAGGCCCACTTTACTCATCATATAGTTGCAGCTCCCTCTGAGATATTCCTGCTAATGAGTACTTTCAGGAACCCAGCCAAACACTTGCTCTTCTCTAGGTGCACTTCTTTCAGTGTGCATCCATCTTAGGCTTCCCTTTAAGAGCTCAGAGCAGACTTCTCTAGCTACGCTTTCTTATGGCTACCCTCCTAAGATTTCCACCACCACACCACGTTTCCAACCTATTAGTCCTCATAACAAGTTGCCTGATCAACTTCATGCACATCTATCCTGTGATAGCTACACTGGAGAATTTGGCTTATGTGAGTTTAGCTATCAGGATAGAGTTTTATTCCAAATCATTAGGAAATGGACCTTCAATCACTAATACAAATTCCAGGAAAAACTATATAAATCTGAAACAGTTAATGTTTGGTTTGTTGGGTTTTTTTCTGAGTTTACAGAATGAGCATTGTAGGGAGGTACTATGAATTTGGGAAGGTTTCTGTTTAACAGATAGTCCTTCAAAATGTTTAATAGCCTAAACTCCCTCTGTCACCATTGTGAGTTGATGGCTCTCTAGATGTGGTGATTAGGATGTCTTGATTATTTGAGTTCAGAAGAGTTACTGTTGATTTACCATTCCACAGATAGAAGTGGGGCCCTGCAAAACTTACTTGTGTGTTGCACAGTTGAAGTTACTTTTTGAGCTACTAGAAGAGCACAAAAATAAGAAATAGTTAATATTTATGTATAGTCACATAGTGTGCAGCCAACACCAAAGCTGCAAACTCATTTTCCCATGCAGGGTAAAAACTGAGGAGGAGGACGAGTTGAGCAGTGCAAGCATGCTGTTTGGGTCAGGCACAAGATTTAGTAATTTCAAGGCAACCTAAGAGGGAGAGGGGTTTATTGCATGAAGACTGAATGTATGGCCTAACAATGTATATTCTTAGAGCAAACTGACTTTGGAAAGCATGAAAAGTGCCGACAGGAAAAGGAGAGGTGGTCCAGTTTTTGTAGATGGTACAGATGGTATCTACATTTTCATTCCTATTGCAAACATAGGGAAAATTGTGGAAATGAAAAGGTCCTGCTTTTCTTGGCACTCATTTCTAATAGTGCATATGTATGTGTGTGTATGCACGTATAGACACATATGTAAGAAGAAATCTTCTAGAGAAATTATAGTTTTTAAGTTTATGGAGTTATGGAGCTATGTAGTGATTGATTAAAGGAAATGTTTCAGACTTTTCTGTAATGACTTGATAACAATTATAACGAAAATATTTTCAGAATTTCTAGAAATTACTATTCCTAAGTAATCGTTTTTAACGTTTGTGGTAAAGCACTTATAGTTAGAAGAGGTATCACCTCCAATCCTGCTACACTGCAAGGTTTAACTCCTCGATGAACTAATGAATTTTAAGCATCCAACAATGATCATGTAAAAAATTGAGAAAAGTAGAAACGTACGTGGTTTTATAGTGCTTAGTAACTTCGGGAAAAAGATGTATTTGTAGTGTTAGGGATTTATATGTTTTAAGGTTTGTTCAATATGTCTGAATATAGTGTCTCTAATAAAGGGCTGCCTAACAGAGCAAGTAGGTTTTGCCAATGTGTGACATATATGTATTACCTCTGCACAACACGTCTACAGTGATACCTGCTGTCTTTTCCATTTGATTTTCAGTTGGTTAAGATTGTCTTAGCTCCAGCACCAGGAATTTTGTACTCTGTTTTAAAACAGAGCCTAATCTCAGCAGGATTACAGTGATACCAGTTACATATCCCAGCACAAATAAATACAGCAGTTATTATACTTGCCCACTTTTAAGACTGCCACCCTGTTAAATTTATGCTGGTTTAGACTGCTGCAATACTAATCCATGCAAAAATGTGAGCGTGCAAAAACATATTGATTGTACAGCTATTCTGCTGCTCAGCCAGAGCATCTTAGTACAGCTTTGGTCTCATAAAATTCCTATATGACTTATAATATGGCCATTGAGAATTGCTAGGAGCTCTAAATCTCAATTATTTGTGGAGAAGATATTTGCTGTGTGACTGAGACTAGAAGAACTTGAGATACTACTTGTTCATTATTATCATTCTCTGTCATCCTCAAGACTTAGAGCTGAAAACTCCTGTGTCCTCTGCAGTGGAGTAACTCAGCTCGAGTCTGTGTAAATGGGGCTAGAACCAAATCCTGCATACCTGTCTGCCTGTGTTTCCTTCCCTTCCTGTGACTTTTTCCCTCTCCTTGGAGAGTAATGGTTGTAAAAAACTTCCTGCATGCCAAGGCAACTCCCTTTCAGTAGGATTTTATTCCTGCTTTGCCTGGATATGTGACTCAACCAGGTACAAACCATTACAGATTCATTGCTACAGGATTAATTTCGTCCAAATGAGATTTTTTTAGTTGTTTTTAATTTCTGCTTACCCTTTTGATATGGACTGTATCCTCCCCAGCTGCTTGTTTACAGCATGATACAGTGGCATCCCCTGAGGGCTGGGGCAGGATGATGCAGTAGTGGTTGCTGGGCACAACTTCAGGAAGGATGTGCTGAGCTGGACCATCCTCTGAGCAGGACCCAGTAAGGGATGAAGCTCTTCTGCCAGTGTGGTCTGAGTCCAGAGCCTAACAGGCAATTAGCAGAGTGGGTTGCATGGAAAGCAGGGCCTGTGGCTTCATAAACAGGATGGGGGGACTTGGGGCTGAGGGTCTGCTGTGGCTGAGAAGCTGTGCATAGCAGAAAAGGGGTCTATGCCTGACACAAAGGGGCTGTGTTTTAAATAAGGAGTTTGGGATAGAACCGCAAACAAAGTTTAATGTTTTTCATACTGAGCCTTTTGGTCTTAAAAATCTATTTGATAATTAAAAGTAATTTGCTACTGCTACTACAGTTGAGTAGTTCTGCTTCCCAAATGGCAAAGTATTGAACTTTATAATTTAAAGAGATCTAGATTTGGGCATGCTCCTGCCATTATATTAACTATTTAAAGCTACAGTCTTTCCAACAACATCGACCAAAATAAGAGCTGATGTTAGCTGCATTGTGAACTTTGTACTGCTATATACACTACATGCCTGCAAGAATATATATGCTAATATAAAACACTTGAAATAGGTGAACTCTTGTCCTGATAACACTGTTGGCAAACATCAGGGTTGCCAGCATTTTACAATGTGTTCAAGAATAGACACTCTTCCCAATGGACATTATTACCTGAAGATACAGAGGAGTCCAGCAGCACACAGCTAAATAAACAAGTACAGCTGGGGGTGAAACACAGCTTTCCAGCTAAATGACTACCCATAATTTCAACCAGAGGAAGGGAAGCTGAGGAGGTTCACAGGAAGGTTGATGATACTGTGTTTGAGGGAGTTCCTTGTTATTAGGGTACAGGACGATCGTTTTTCCTAACCTAACCATTACCAGGGTTAAATTTAACTCACTTTTCCCCATTACTTTCCTGTCCCCTCTGCTGGGACAAGTCTATATGGAACTGCTGGTAAAAAGGTATTTCGGTATTTCTACTAAACTGAGTTTACAGCTCAGTCAAGCAAACCAAGATAAATGCTGAAGAGATGGAAATTGCAGCCAGGATGCAAGAGTGAATGGGGTACAGAGGGGAAGTGGCAGCAGGTTTTGATGTCAAAGCAAGGAAAACATGGCTACATGCTGCCTACAACACTAGTGAGAGGTTGTCCCCAGTCTGAGGACCACTGGGACAACACACTCCTCCACATTACTTCAGTGACAGTTCATTTCAGTTGTGCATCTTAATTTCCTGGACAGTCGTACATAATGATTTTATCTTCCTGAGTGGATGATGGGTGTGGTGAAAGGTCCACAGTGTTCTACTCCTAAACAGGCTCATTTTAACTATCCCAAAGTTTCTCAGGTTGGTTGTTTTTTTTCCTCCTAATTTCTTCATGTTTCTACAAAATCAAGACAGTGTGATTTATTGTAAATGGAGTAATGCCTTCAAGGAGAAAAAAAGCCAACACTGTTGGAAGAAGTGATGATTTTCAGATCATTTTAAGATATTCAAAGGGATGGAAAGAGACTGTTCTGAGAACCTACTGTTACTTTTATACTAGCAAATTAGATGTTAACCTTTGAGTGACATCAGTAAATATTTAGCGCTGAAGATTCCTCAGGGATTTTGTAAGTCTGCCAGACCTTAGGCACAAACCCCATACTACACTGCTTTTCTGTAAAGCACCATTCTGCCTTTTGCAAGAGCTCCCCTTGTCAAAAGTTGAACCATCGCAGTTTCTAAAGAGGTCTGACACAGAGAATAAATCCCCAGTCTGGGGATGGTAAATCATCTTTTTAGAAACCTGTGGCAGTAGCAAAGCTTTCATCACTAAACCTTAAACAAAGAGAAGTCATCTTGCAGTCTGAATTGCTGGCATACATTTCATTTTAAATCAAGTTCCTTTGTGTTGGACAATACTACAACTAAAAATCCTTGTATTGTATTTCTGCCTCTTTCTTGTGTTATACAAATGTGGTTTGCATTTTGAAAAATGTATT